TTCTATAGAGAAAATTCCCAAATTGAGATTCCCTGTTCCCAGATATATCAAATTGACCACTGAAGATAACCATGACAGTATCTTTCCTAGTGCACTGTGGTAGGCCTGTAAGTTGCTGCAACTCAGCAAGCACCCTCAGAGGCCAAGGCAGTGAGCTCTTCTCTCGGGTACTTCCAGTTCCTGTTCAGGCTCTGCTAAAGCATTCCCTACGCTTCACTTTGCCTGGGGGACAGAGAAGTTTGCTCTTCTTCCTTCCACAAGAAGGGAAAAACAACACTTGCTCTCCTCAGTTCTGAGACTCCTACCCATTCTGACTTCTGCCTCTCTGGGCAGAATGAGGCCCTAGGCTGTGTGTGGAAGGACCATTGTGACTGCTATGCAGCATGCCCTAGAGGCATGCACTGGCAGCTTCCTAGCAGGCTTTATGTTCCTATTGGCCTTCACTTTGAACTCTAAACTATATATATGCATATATGTGTTCTTTATACAGGTAAAATGAAGGAGGAGTAAAGGATAGTAAAGAAAGATAGGCTGCAGCCTTCCTTTCTTTTTAAACCCTAACCACCACTCACTTTGGCAACCCAGGCCTTGGCAAGCCAACCTGAGTTGGAACTTGAATGCTTCACATCAGCCTGTTGGCAGCACACATCTATAAAATGGGACTGATAGAGGCACCAGCTTCACAAAATTAGCTAAGGTTAAAAGAGTGAATATATTTTAAGATCTTTGACTAATAATTAGTATCTAGTAAGTATTCAGTAAAAGAGGTAATTATTATTGTTCATAATAGTGCAGCTGAGTATCCCTTATCTGAAATACTTGATCAAGAAGAGTGTCTCATGTTTTGGGTTTTTTTCAAATTTGAATATTCACAGATTCATACTTGGGGTTGTGACTCAAATCTAAACATGAAGTTCAATTACGTTTCATATATACTGTGTACACACAGTCTGAAAGTAATTTTACACAATATTTTTTAGTGTGCCTTGATTTTCCTTCACATGAAGGCAGGCATGGAATTTTCCACTTATAGAATCAGTTCAGTATTCAAAAAGTTTCAGATGTTGGAGCATTTTCAATTTTGAAGCATTTCAAATTTCTGAGCTCCATGGGCATTGCACACACGACACAGGTGCACTAACACACATGCAGGCAATACACATATGCATTAAAATTAAATTAAAATTTTAAAATATATATACATATACATGTATATGCTATAGGCAAAAAGTTAGAACTGGATAAAAGATTTATAAATACCCAAGGAGCATATTAGCACTTTCAACTCTGTTGCAGTAGGTCTGGAGTGGGGGCCCAGGAATATTTCCTAAGCACCAGCTAATTCTGCTAAAGTCCTCAAGACAGTATACTGACATGTGGGGCTCAGAGGTAAAGGATGTGATTAGCACAGTCAGTGCCCTGAGTATCATGCACAGCACCAAAAATCTTTTTTTCCCCTAAAACAAACTGCTGACATAAGAGCTAGGAGACTATACTTGGCATAGTAAGACCAAATCGAACATCAAGTCTGCAGTTTAAAGAATTGCAGGGTGTTTGTGCCTCTTTGAGTAAAAGTTAATATGTATTTATTAAATGTGTAAATAGAAAGTAATATTAATCATATTTTTTTAATGTTGGAAGTAAGCCAGGCCTCAGGAGGCAGAGGCAGATGGATCTCTAGACCAGCTGAGGCTACAGGGCAAACCTGTCTCAAAAAGACCAAAAAAATTTGTTGGAAGTATTGCTAGTAGTAGTCTTTGATTAAGAAAAAGGTAAAACTTGAAATTTGTGATGCAATTTGACGTTATAAATTGACAGCACCATCAACTTAGAAAGCCTTGAATTTTAAGTTTGTCTTCCTCAAAAGGGGGATTGAGATCTTTATTTTTTAAATTTTTTTATTGAATTTTTGTAATTTCATACAGCAGTTCTTAATCAAATTTAGAGTCCCTCCTCCATCCAGTGCCCCTCATGCCTCCACCAGACCTCATGTATTCCACCATACACGTTAAGTCCCATCCAGTCAAACATTTGTACCCAGATGTCCTTCAGTGTGAATTTGTACACTGGAGTTGTCAGCCCATCTAGAGATCATATGTAAGGCATACTCTCCCTCATCCAGCATCAATCAGTCTCCAATAGTTCTCAGCCTAGGGCCAGCCTTCCACCCATTTCTCTTCTCCCCACTGGACCCTTGTTTAATTGAGTTGGCATGGGTTTTGTGCTTAGTGCCACCATTGCCACAAGTTCATCTGTGCAAGCTTCCAGTGACCTGAAAGCCTCTGCTTCCCTGTGTTCATGAACCAGCCCTGGCTCTTACATTCTTTCCACCCCCTCTTCCACAATGGTCCCTGAGCTGTGGGTGGGTGAGTTTCAATATAGGAATCTCATTCAAGGATACACACTCTGTAGTCTCTTATTCTTTAAAACTTGACTAGTTGTGGCCTTCTGTGTGCATTGCACTCTGTTGTATGAGGAAGTTTTACTGGTAAGAGTTGAGGCATGCATTAGTTTTCTCTCTACCCCTTGTTCCACTATGTTCATGAGCCTTAGGTACAGAGGTTCAACTGTAGATGTGTCACCTAATACTTGGCATCTCTCAGACATATATTCTCTGTGGGTGACCAGTTGTGGAATTCTACAGTAGCCTCCATCTGTTGCAAAAAGGAACTTCTTTGATGAATGGTGTATGTATGCTTGTCTATAAATACAAGGATCTGTATTTAGCATATGGTAAGAAATTTCATTTGTCTAGAGATATGAGATAGGGTTTTCCAAAAAGAAAAAAAAAAAGGAAAATGCAGGGGTACCAGCATGGGGGTGATAGTGAGGGAGGATGATCAATGAAAACAAAATATGGGTGAAAATACTATAATGAAATACCTTACTTTGTGTGCCAATTAGAAAAAAACAAATAAAAAAGTCATCCAGGAAAAATGAGATAATTAGGATGCCCCAAAGAAATGTGTTTTAAAAGTAGGGATGAATAAAGCTTACAACTTAAAAAAAATCATTTTATTAGTCATTTAAGTTTTTTTATGTGTATGAGTGTATTGCCTGCATGTATGTAAGGGCACCCATGTCTTGGAATGACCACAGAGGTCAGAAGAGGACATTGGATGCCCTGGAACTGGAGTTGCAGATGGTTATTAGCCACCACGTGAGTGCTAGAAATCAAACCTAGGTCCTCTGCCCAAACAGCCAGTGCTCTTAACCTCTGAGCCATCTCTCCAGCCCTCATTTAAGTTTTTAAAATTTTGATTATTAAGCCAGACACACAAATGGTGGCACACACATTTAATCCCAGCACTTGGGAGTCAGAGGCAGGTGGATCTCTGTGAGTTCAAGGCCAGCTTGAGCTACATAGAGTTTCAGGCCAGCCAGGGCTACATAGTGAGACCCTGTCCCCCCAAAAAACTTTCATTAATGATATTTTAACATATCATGGAAAACTCCAGTTCCAGGATATCCAACACCCTCTTCTGGCCTCTGACGGCATTGCACACACGGTGTATGTGCTAGCAAAACACTCATGCACATAAAAAATAAATTAAAATGTTTTAATTATATCTTTTATTTATTTGGGGGGAAGTGTGCATTCATGTGGAAGTCAGAAGACAACTTGAAGGAGTTGGTTCTCTCCTTCTACCTTGTATGGGTCCCAGGAATCAAACTCAAGTTGTCAGGCTTAGTCTCAGGTGCCTTTACCCACTTAGCCATCTCATTGGCCCACTGTCCTGTTTTAAGTGTTACATATCCTTTCATTGTGATAAGAACACAGCATGAACTCTATCCTCTTTTTTAAAATTTTGTTTATGTTTTGAAGACAGGGTCTCCCTGTAGCCCCAGGCTGGCCTGGAACTCAATATGTAGCCCAGGATGACCTCAATCTCACAGATATCTGCCTTCCTCTATACCAGGTACTGGGATTAAAGGCATTGCACCACCATGCCTGGCAGGAGTACTTTCTTAATTAGTACCATCATTTAAAAATGGCCGCTCTATTTTCACACTGCTCTCAGTCATTTTATAATACCTCATTAAGGGGGTTTGTGTATGGTGTGACCCAAATATTTACAAGTCATAAAGATTTAACTGTAATCTGAAGAATGTTTATAGTCAGTAAGGCTTTCACCTTTAGACTCATATTGGTATGCAGAAAAAAAGTGAAGGAAAAAAGAACAAAATCAAGGCCCAACATCCCAACCTATTTTAGATATGTTCTGAAATAGAAGCTATGAAACTAGCCAAGGTCATTTTTAACTTTGTACTTTTCAAAGCAGACAGTCGACTATGAGCCATTTCATTTGAGATAGAAACTAACATTTTAATTGCATTTCTAAACTACAGAGGATTTTCTCTGAAGAATTAAGTTAATGTTCTTCAGCAGGTTAGCATTTGAGTCTTTCAGGCTTATGTGGTTTTGTTAATATATCTAGCTCCATTTCAGTGTCTTCTCACACTCTGAATTTCCAAAGTCAAAAGGGAAGACGTGTGTGTCCTTGACTCCCTGCTGAAGGGTGCCAGCACTAATTCTGTTAATGAACAGCCCTAGTAAGACAAGCTGAAAGCTTTTGTGAGAACATTCCTTCCTAGAAGGAGTTGGGTTTTCCCTTTCCCAAGATTTAGGCTTCTGTGAAAATTCTTTCAGACTCTTCTTGGCTGGAAAATGTTCTTTCATTTTACTCTGTATTCGTGTTGCTTCTGGCAGAGGGGAAAACACTGGATTGCTGCAAGATTGATGGATTTTAAATGCTAAGGAAATTGCTGCACTGATAGACTTCTAGTGTCTCTCCTTAAAGGTGTTCTCTAAGAAAAGATGTACATGAAACTCATATTCTGACAAGTTTCATTGAATCCTGAACAGTTGACAAGAAGACCCACTGAAATCATCACCTGACTTTTTAAGATGGAAATATTTTCTATTGAAATAATAAATAGGAAGCCGTGAACTATAGCAAAAATAGGAGTATTTATTGGAGTTTCTTTTTGCTTTTTAGCTGTATGACAAAATTAACACAAAGTCTTCACCACAAATCAGGAATCCTCCAAGCGATGCAGTACAGAGAGCCAAAGAGGTAAGTGATATATTTCTAAAAGTATTTAGCATCATCACATTAGCTACCTTGACTGAAGACAGTTGTACTGTCCATTAAGAGGCTCTTTAGGATCACAGTTTGACTTGTTGAACTCAGATTCAGAATTTCTAAGTTTATCACTGGAAAGTAAAAAATGTCAGCAATAACACTAACTAGATTTCCTCTTTTAGTTCTGTGATGTAAATGAATATATTAATATAGACATTTTTCTTTGTTCTTTTTTTAAAGTTATTTTACTGTTCTTGGTAGAAGTAGACATGCTGTAAAAATTTGAGTTGCTTTTTTAAAGGTGGTACTGTTTGAAAGTTAATTGAATTTCTACAGCAATTAGATATACTGAGTTCAAAGAAGTCATTTTTACATGTTGTCATGTACACAGTAGTACTTGCCACAAGCTTTTTTCGACTTATATATTATAGAGACATAACATCTCAGAAAGCTTGGAAAATAAAATATCATCCATAATTTCATACCCTAATACAGTAGTTTCTATTTTTGCATATCTGTTCCAGACATTATTCATTTTCATGGAAATTTGATATATTTCTCATCAAAATATGTCATTTTTAGCCTAACATTATAAGCATTTTCTGTGTTTTTATTTGTTCTTCATGATTACTGTAATTTTTCTATCATTATAATGATTCAGAAATTTCCCAACTAGTAAAAACGTAGGTTTTTTCTTCATTGTTTGATCTTTTGAAAGTCTTCATACAAATAAACATTTCCTTTTAAAAATATATTATAAGATGATTACTGAATGAAAGTGTATTGAAGATATAATCCCTTTCCTAGTGGGTTTTTGTTTGGGGTTTTGTTCTGTTGAGACATCATCTCACCATATAACCCAGTGCTGGGATGACAGGTACGTACCACCACAACCAGCTTCCTAGCAGCTTTTAAGCATATGACTTTTAGTAAAAAAAAATATTGTATATTCTTGTATAGTCACTGAGAAATGAGACCTGTGCCATGGTGCCTACCAGGCCTGTCCTCTTGGTCAGGATAAGGTGAGAGAAATTTGGTTCGCTGGCATTTAATCTTACAAGCCATTGGCAGAAGCATGGCTTTCTCTGCGTGGGAAAATAAACATGGAGGATAGCATTGATCCTGCCAGGCTGCAAGGAAAACTGCTTGAGTGTATTCTTAATTAATTATTATAGTTAATTAGTATTCTTCTTTATATTGTTTTCATTTGACCCTATATCATCTTTTTTAAGGAACTGGCAGTGCTATTAATTTTTAAAAGGTTGTTATTAACTTTTAATGCAAATTGATTTGAGTGGTGAATTTGGAAGACATTTTCCCATTGAGTTAATTAAGTTACTTAAACTCATAATAAATGTGAATTACAAACTTACCATTTTTTTATTTTTAGCTATCTTTTGGGTTATAGCTGGGTAATGAAGGCAAACTATTATTACATTTGTTTCATTGTATTACTCTCAATATCATTCTTATATTTTAATAACCTTTGAATGAAACGAATGTTTGGAAAGTAATTGCCTTTCTAGCTACAAAAAGTGATTCATAATTTCTAATTTAAAGGAATTCCATCATTTTTAAACTCATATCATTTTGCACTATTATGTATCTTCTTTAATTTTCTAGGTATTGGAAGAAATTTCATGTTACCCTGAGAATAATGATGCAAAGGAACTAAAGCGTATTTTAACACAACCTCATTTCATGGTAAGTAATACATTTCCATACAACTAAACCTCACTTTCAAAAGAAGTTTTTAATAACCTTCATAAAGTATTGCTAGCATCATCAAATGTATTTTTAATCCATGTATAGTCATGTCATTTAATGCTGGGATGCCTTCTGAGGAATATATCATTAAGCAAACTAATCATTGTGAAATCATCATAGAGTATCCTTACACTAGTCTAGGTGGTACAGGCTACTAGTGTGTACCAAGCAACATAGTGTATAGACATGTGTGTAGTATAGTTCTAGGCTCTTAGGGCCATGACAAGCAAAGCAACATAAAAATAAAACAAGCACAAGAGAAACGATGCATTGAGAGACACACACAGTAAGTAAATGCAAGCTGTAGGCTGCTGCCAGGATACCACGACATACATTTTATGGTAAACTTTTTGTTTGTTTTCATTTGATTTTGACTTTGATTTTTGAGACAGAGCCTAAATGGTAGCCCAGACTAGCCTCAAACTCATGATCCTCTTGCCTCAGCCTCCTTAGTGCTAACATTACAGACACATACTACCGTGACCCAGCTTTAAAGGTTTTTAAGTAGAAGGAATGCACTGTAAAATAATGATAAAAAGTGCAACATAGTAAATCCATAACATAGTAACATAGCCTCTCTCAAGTCTTAGGCGCTGTATAATTGTGTGTGTTATGCTTTTATCTGACCAGCTGTGCAGTAGGTTTGCATATACCAACATCACCACAACCATGTATGTAGACATTGTACCACGTAGTCACTAAACTGTAGGAATGTTTAGGCTTCATCTTGTATATGTGGTCTATTGTTGACTAAAATATCATTAAGAGGTTTGTGACTGTTCTAGCAGACTAAGATTATGGTAACAGGTGATTCCAAATATTTTGAATTGTTGTTGCTGTTGTTGACCTGTGTCACAGTTATAAAGATGCTGCCCTTGTGAAGTGGCTCTTCAAGGACTATGTAGACCTCAGACAAGAGATGTGCTTCTTTATATTACAGTCGTTAAGTCACTGGCATTCTATGTTGCTTAAACCACAAAGAGCTAAAATGGAAGACAGTTTTTAATGAAATGCTGGTCATGATTTTTACAGTTTATTATTTGGTGAGGGGGCACATGTGCCACAGCACATGTGTGGAGGTCAGAGAACAACTTACAGGAGTCAGTTCTCTCCTTCCACATTGTGAGTCCTAGGGATCAAACTCAAGTAGTCAGGCTTAGAAACAAGCACCTTTACCTGCTGAGCCATTTGATGGCCCTGATTTTTGCTCATGAGTCTCTGAATCTAGGTGATGTATTGGAAAACTTATACATTCGTTTTTGACAATACAAGCTCCTGTACTTTTCTCATTCATTTCTATGAAAAATGGGAATAGCATCTGTATTTAGCCAGCTAGTATAAACTGAAATGGTTAAACAAGCTCAAAATAGGCAAGAAACTGCTGTAGAAAAAAATTACTTAACTGCAATTCAAAAGCACAATTACAGGGTCTGGAGAATGGCTCAGCAGTTAAAAGTGCTTGATGCTCTTCTAGAGGACCAGTTGAGATAACAGCACCCTCGTCAAGCAGCTCACAACTGTCTGTAACGCCAGCTCCAAGGGATTCAATGTCCTTGTCTGGCCTCTGAGGGCACTGGCACACATGTGCACATATATGGCGGGGGCGGGGGGGCAGTAAATAAAATAATTTTTTTTAAAAAACACAATTAAAAATGTAAATTCATGTTCAATATAACATTTTTTAAGCAGTCACAACTATAGATGTGGAATATATGCAAAGAGTTGAAAATCCAACCAACAAAGAGTGAAAAGCTGACTTAAAAACCATGTTCTTTTTACAACTATTAGGTGCTAATTTTTTTAATAATAATAACAACAAAATCTATGTCACATCAGTTACTTGTGTGTTTTGATGTACATGCTATTTCATTGTACATACAATGTTTTTAAAATTGTAACCTAGTCGTTGACATAAATTTTCCATTAAAGTGACAATCATAAAAGAAGGAATTAACATATTCCCCCACCCTAACTTTCCTAAGCATTAAAGGCTTAACTCAAGTACATCTTTGAGAGTATTTAACTCCATTCTACCTGACAGTGGTGACTTAGGATTATAGATAGGTTCTGTGTCTGGCCAGCACATTTTTACAGCTGAGATATGTCAATTTTATTTTGTGTATGAGTGTTTTGCCTGCATGTAAGTACACCACATGTGTGCATTGCCCGCAGAGGCTAGAAATTGGCATCAGATCCTCCGGAACTGGAGTTACAGATAGTTGTAAGCCACCATGTGAGTGCTGGAAATGAAAGTGAACCCAGGTCCTCTGCAAGAGCAATCAGTGCTCTTAACCACTGAGCCATCTCTCCAGAACCCCAATTTTTTTTTTGAGACAGGGTCTCACTATATAGTCCTGGCTGTCCAGAAACTCTTTGTGTAGACCAGACTGACCTCAAACTCAGAAGGATCCACTTGCCTCTGCCTCCCGAGTGTCACCATGCCTGACTTCCTCTGTGTGTGACATTCTAATACATCTTGGCCTACTGAAGCCAGTCTCTTCCCCATGAATGGGCCTGGACAGTTCTCCTATGTCTAGCCATGTCTCAGCTTAGCTTTGTGAACTTGTGAGCTAACTGAATCATTGTTATTCTCTCTGTATCACAGAGCAAGAAAATGAAAAGACTCTATGCCTTACTAGTATCCTCAGATTTGAGCAGTTTTAACTAGCTAACAGAAGTCAATTACCCTTAATATTATCTTGCTCACTAATAATTACATATGTAGGGGCCATGTTTCCCAAGATCATAATTCATCCCCCTTTAAACATCATGTCTTCTATGAGATAAGTGTGATTTAAAGTTTCTGAATTCAGATGGGACCGAGGTTAAACTCCATCCTTGGTGCTGTGAACTAATTCTGTGAACTCTGACTTTCTGGCCCAGCCTCTTAGAGTTAGAATAAGAACTAAATAGATAATATGTCTGCTGTACTTAGCAGTGTCTTGTATATGCTTAATGCCTAATCTTTGTTAGCTAGTATTAATTATCCCCATAGCATCTGTAATATGCCGGTGCACAGAGCTTACATTGCAAGTTCTCAGGAAAACATTGAATAGAATGGTAACTTGCCCACTTGCAAGTAGGTTCACCTTACCACTGACTGTTCTGTGTGCTGTGGTCTCCACAGAAACTCACATATTTTTGGACCAACCTGCCTATTTATAAATTGCTAAGTTATCTGATCTCAATTCATAGAACAATATAGGCCATTTCAGACCAGTAAATATTTCAGCTTTGAAGTAGATTAAATAAATAAATAGTATATACCCAAGTAAGAATCTCTTTTTTCAGGTTAAAGTTTTTTCACAAGAAAAATCATTAAAGCTTATATAGCCTTGTGTCTCACAGCTTATCTACCTTCTAAGCCTTGATTTATTTTGCATTTCTGAAGTCAGGAAGAAATTCCTGTGTGTACCCTCTGAGTAAACATTTTCAGAAATAATAAGCAAATCAAATTTCCTAAATACCTAGCTAGATGCTTAAAAGACATCTTCATTCATTTATGAAATACGTAAGAGCCTGCTGTGCCCCAGGTATACACTATGCTGAGCAGCAAGGATCTAGCGGTGAATAGGGAAAACAGGATCCCTGCCCTCATGGAACATCCAATCTAGTGGGGAGGCAGGATGGAAATAGGTAGATGAGGTAGACACAGTAAGCATTCTCATGGAACTTCCATTCAGGGTAGGCGGCAGGATGGGGTAAGTACATGATGTAGAGACAGACAGTGAGCATATAAGCTAACATTATAATTTCAAATCATGATAATAACTATGAAGAAAAGCAAAGATCATGGTAAAGTGGGAGCTATTTTAAATTGTCATGGGAAGCCTTTCTGGAGAGTTAACTGAGGTGAGTCTTGTTATAGGAAAGAGCTGGCCCTCTGAACATGCAAGCATGAGGACCAGCAAACCAAATGCAAAGGCCCAGTAGCAGGAAAGACTTTTGTAGGAAGGAGCAGAACTAAGCTGGGAAGAGAATAGTACAGAAATGCTTAGAGAGCTTGGCAGAGGCTAGACTAAGCCTTCCCAGATAATGGTAGTCTGGGTTTTTTTCCTGGTTGAAGTGGCGCATGCAGTTCATGCATTCAAAATTGTTGCTGGGCATGGTAGTATGTTCCTGTAATCCCAGCACTTAGGAGGCTAAGGTAGGAGGATTGCCACAAGTTTGAGTCCAGCCTAGACTACATAGTATCAGGCTAGGGAGGGCTACATAGCAAGACCCTGTCTCGAACGAGAGAGCGGGGGTGGGAAGAGGAAGAGAGAAAGAAGAGGATGAGGGGGGAGGAGGGGGGGGAGGAGGCAGCAACTGACTCCAGAGCTCATGTTCTTAAAACTGCGTTTATTTGTAATCCAATGAATTTCCCTGTAAGCTTATATTAAGCTCATTCATCATTCTTGAATAAACATATGTCTGGATAATGTCCCCTGTAAGAAATATAATTCTAGGGTCTGGAGAGATAGCTCAGTGGTTAAAAGCTCTGCTCTTACAGAGGACTCAGGTTTGGTTCCCAGCACCCACCTAGTACTTAAAATACAGATATTTGAAAATGTTTGCAGTAACATAAAGGAGAGGAAATAAGGAGGGATGATGAGATGGCTCAGTGGGCAAAGATGCTAAATGGCAAATCTAAGGACCTAAGTTCAATTCCTGGAACCCACATGGTGGAAGGATAGAATCAACTCCTACAAGTTGTCCTCTGACCCACACACACACACAATAAATGATAGAAGATGATAGATGATAGATAGATAGATAGATAGATAGATAGATAGATAGATAGATAGATAGATAGATAGATAGATTAAGATAAATACAGTAAATTTAAGCTCGGCATAGTGGCTCACACCTGCAATCCAGAATTTAAAAGATTGAGGCAGGAGGATTACAAATTCTAGATCAACCTGGTTATATAGCAAAATTCTTAACTAGAAAAAAAAAAAACTACCAGCTCCTTCAGCCTAGTAACAATTACCCAGTCATACCTTATAAGACTTTTAAAGAAAAATATACAAATTAGTTTCAGATTTTTTTATATTCTTTTTTTAACTTTATTTTAAGCATGCTGTATATGCCCCCTTTTCCTCTTTGCACATGAATTAGAGCTGGGAATTTAGTTTTATTTTGTGTCAGCAGTCTTAATGGTGACAAATTCTGGTTAATAGCAAATATGGCCTTATTTGGTGGCATAATGTCAACTTTTTCAAAATTCGGTTTTGGGGCTGGAGAGATGGCTCAGTGGTTAATAACACTGGTTGTTCTTGCAGAAGACCCGGGTTCAAATCCCACATGGCAGGTAACAACTGTCTGTAACTCCAGTCCCAGGGGATCTGACAGCCTTTTCTGACCTCCACGCAGGAATTGCATGACATGGGTGCACTTACCTACATGCAGGCAATACATGCATACACATAAAATAAAAATAATAAATAAAAGTTTTTAAAAAGTTTAAAATTCCGTTTGATATTATTTTATGATTGAGGACTTATTCTTCCTTATAAATAATACATTAAACTCAAGTGCCTGCTTATATAACTTAAAAGAATGAATAGAAATCTGCATAAAGTGGCATAACATTTTTTCCAACTCCTGGGACTTCGGAGACTGACCTCATACTCACAAAGGCTTGCGTTTCTGTTTACCAGTCAGACAAAGCACATTTTTAACTCATGAGTTATGAAAGGCATCTCTGTACTTCGTATGATGAACTTAATTTTGGCAGATGAATTTTTCTAGTTGACATATTCCTGATCTTGCTCTCTGCCCTAAATCTAAATCTTAGATTCTTAAGTGACCATAATTAGACCACAAAGAGAAAGATTTACCCACATGGTCCAACCTCCACACTTGATAGTACCAGTGCAGGGTGCCATTGGGGCACTAGTGAGAAAGCTAAGGTCCCCAGGGCCCCTAGGAGCTCTACTTAGAAGCTATGCATTGTTAATGTCCCTCAGCAGTCCTCACACAAACCTGTAGTTGTGAGTGGTGATCTGAGCTAGAGGCAACCATTTCCATTAGAAACCAAATACATGGACTGCTCAGTGCATCTGCTAATAGCAAATCAACACCGGTCTCCTTTCTGAGTTTACCACATCATTATCTTATTTTTGCCTTGTGTGCATGACTTTAAAATTAAAATTCCTAAGTCATGGCTTTAATAAGCCTTTTAAGAAATCATTTCAGATGCTAAAATGCAATTTAATTGCATTTCATTATCTGCATATATCTTATTACCACATGTATTACAGATGAAAATGAAACTAAATTTAGAGTTAACACACCAAAAAAAAAAAAAACACCAAACCAAACAAACAACAAAAAAAAATGTAATCAGTATAAAGTTCCAAGCAGACCATTAGTCAGCTATAAATTCTCTCTGAGATAAAAATTCTCACGTGTATTAAAAAGTTTTTATGATAGCACAAAAAGTTCAGTGACTAGAAGGCTATCCTTTTTTGGAGAAACAAAAGCCATTTATTATCCAAGTTCACCAAGATGACATATGCAATATCAGTGCAAAGAAATCATTTTCTTTGTTAGTGGGCTTTGCAAAATGAACACATAATCATTTTCAACTTACTTGGGGCTGGGGTTGTAGCTCAGTTGTTAAAGTGCTTGCCTAGTATTCACAAAGCCCTGGTTTACATCCCTCGCACTGCATAAACCAGGCACAGAGGCATGCCCCTGTAATTGCAGCACTTAGGAGGTGGAAACAGAAGGATCAGAAGTTCAAGGTCATCCTTTCCAACTCAGTGAGTTCAAGGTCAACCTGGGATACATGATATCTTGTCTCGAAAAAAAAAATTATTTTCAGCTTAGTTTGTATTTAGTCAAGAGCTCCAAAACATAGAAAAGAACGAAGCATTTTAAACGTTCCAATTGCGAGGGCCAGGAAGATGGCTCAGCAAGTAAAAGCACTTTTCACCAAGCCTGACATCCTGAGTTCGATCCCAAGGACCCATATCGTGGAAGGAGAGGACTGACTCCAGCAAGTTGTCCTCTCACCTCCACATGAACACTGTGGCACATGTGTGCTCATACATACACAAGCAAATAATACTGATAATTAATAAATGTAAACTCCAATTTTGGGTTCTATAATGTATGTGACATTTTAGAAAAACACATTTTTTTTTTTACACAGGGTCTCAATATGTACCCCTGACTGGCCTGCCTCTGCCTCCCAAGTGCTGGGCATGTGCCACCATGCCCAACCAGAAAATTACATTTTTTTCAAAGACATCTGTACAGGTTCTTTTATTTCTTTCCTTAAATCCTGTTATAATTTATCTTCATCTTTTGGGCTATATAAAAATATTATGATTGGGCTAGAGAGATGACTCAGCCATTAAGAGCACTGGTTGCTCTTGCAACACAGGTTCAGTTCTCAGCACCCATATGGTAGCTGACAGCTGTTTATAACTGTTTATAACTCCAGTTCCAGGGGATCTGATGTACTCTTTTGGCCTCCATGGGCATTGTACGCACAGGTGCCCTTACATACATGCAGGCAATACATTCATACACATAAAATAGAAATAATAAAGAAAAATTTTAAATTAAAAATGTAAAAAATATTATGGTTGGCATCATTGATGTTAGTATCTAATTGTCCATTCCAGTGTAAGAACCTGAAACTTAAAGGTCATCCTTGATCCTTGCTTCTCCCTCATTCCCATCACCAACCCACTAGTAGATTTATCTTATTTCATTCATATCATGAAAGATATTTGTTCAGTACTGATTATTATATGCATCTTGTACTTTTTGGTTCAATTTTAAGACCCAGTGCTTTTTATAGATGATTCTTTCTGCAAAATTATTTGAAATCTCAGTATATCAGCATTTATTTGAATAAGTGCATTGGATACACTTTTATGGCATAATACCACGTGATGCCTCTAATCTAGGTAACCAGCCAACATATTCATTCATTGATTTGCTCTTTCACTTGTTCATTTTATTTAATCCATGTGTCATGACAATTTCTCACAAAGAAACTGAGGTCTAGTTTTATATAAGTATAATTCACTTTGAATTCTCTTTATATGAGAAATACTTTTGAGACAAAAGGAGTACTTTTACATATGGTTGTATAACAAATTTCTGCTATAATGGTACTATAACTAATATTTTTCTTCTTTCATACAAATGCCAGGCCTTACTTCAGACTCACGATGTAGTGGCACATGAAGTTTACAGTGATGAAGCATTAAGGGTCACACCACCCCCCACCTCTCCCTATTTAAATGGTGATTCGCCAGAAAGTGCTAATGGAGACATGGATATGGAGAATGTGACCAGAGTTCGGCTGGTGCAGTTCCAAAAGAACACAGATGAACCAATGGTAAGTAGGAAATGCTTGAGTTATAATCAGCTAACATCAGTCTACACAGACTGCTAACTGGGAGGGGGAGGGAGGGAAGGCAGACATGGATAGTTTTAAAGAAATCAGTTTCCAGATCTTTGGTTCCTTTTGCCTGATGCCAGATCTTAGACATGCTGGTCATTCTCACCTCTCCTTTAATAATTACTGTTCAGCTTTACAAAATAAAAAGAGCAAACACCACAGTGGTACATTGCTTCAGAAGAGAAAAACCTCTTGTATAGTGGGACTGGAGAGATGGCTTGGTTAAGGTTAAGAGCATTGGCTACTCTTACAGAGGACCCAGGTTCAGTTCCCAACATGCATATGGCAGCTAACAAGTCCTTAACTCCAGTTCCAGGGGATCTGACATCCTCTTCTGGTCTCCATGAGCATTGCACACACATAGGTGCACTTACATGCAAGCAGGCAAAACACTCATACATGTAAATAAAAATAAATCAATGTTTTCAATCCAGTACTTTGAATATATTTTGCTTTCACCAAAATTAGAGGAAGAAAGAGAATTCAGTAGGCTTCAGGGAATTGAATAATGTTACTAAAGTAAGATTCCTTCCATTCATATCTACCTGCTTAATATGGATTCATTTTCTCCATGCTGAAGAATAGAGTTGGGAGAGGACTGATGCTGGATCTCCAGACTCATTCTCAGGAGCATCATAGATTGAGATGATCAAGGAAGGGTCCTGGGATAGCCACTGAGCAGACCAAAAGGATTGGGGGACAGAGGTGATATAGTTCAAACAAACCAAATAGCATGTGCAGAAACCTGGTAGTGAAAAGGCTCTTTTATAGTTTCCAAATGGAAAGAAAGCAGTGCAGCTGGCAGGCAGACAGCATGGCAAGTGGCCAGGCCAGGACCACACAGGTGTTGAAAGACATGTTAGGGTGTCTGTTCTTTAGCTTTAAAAAAAACAGTGGGACACTATTTAAGGGTTTTAAACATGGAACTGGATTGGTTTATTTATTTTAGAAGTATCACTCTGGAAGCTGTATTAGAGGAAACAAGAATGAGTCAAGGGAGACCATTTAACAAAGCAGTCACTGCCATAGTACAGGGGAGAGATGATGGCACTCAGAACTAGTGAGATGTACATCAAGAATGAAAGAGCCAGGCATGGTGGCCCAGCACTGGGGAGGTGGAAGCAGGAGATTCAGCTCAAGACTAGCCTCAACTGCATAACAAGTTTGGAACCAGCCTAGGCTACATGAGACTCTGAAAAATGAAAGAACAGAAATGAAAGTAAAATCAGTAAGGCTTTATAATGGGTTTGTAATGAGATGAGAGAGAAGCAAGACTCGAGGATGACCCTTAAGCTTTAGGGTCATATAGTTGAATGGGCAAGGAGGTAGGAGTAGGGAACATTGGGCAAGTTTCAAGTTTAGAAGAGGGATCATATCTTTTTTAAATTATTTATTTATTTTTATTTTGTGTGTATGAGTGTTCACCTGCATGTATGTAAGTATACCCATATTGTACAATGCCCTCGAAGGTCAGGTGTCGAATCCCCTGGAACTAGCATTATAGATGGTTGTTAGACTCCATGTGGGTGGTGGGAACCAAACCTGGGTCTTCTGCAAGAGTAACCAGTTCTCTTAACTGCTGAACCATCTCTCCAGCTCCTAAGGGATCCTATCTTTAGAGAGGAAAACATTCAAATGTATGCATTCATGTCTTTTCTTTTATACTTTATTATTTTTATTTTATGTGTATGAGTGTATTGCCTACAAGTATATAAGGGCACCCATGTCGTGCAATGCCCGTGGAGGTCAGAAGAAGGTATCATAGCCCCTGAAACTGGAGTTACACACGGTTGTTGGCCACCATGTGGGTGCTGGGAATTGAACCTGGGTCCTCTGCAAGAGCAACCAGGGCTCTTAGCCTCTGAGCCAGCTCTCCAGCGCCAACATTCCTATCTTTTTTCTTGAGAGCATATAAAAACCAAAACACTTACTTAAGAAAGTTGATCAGTTGCCTTCCAGATTAAAGGAAGAGATGCAGAACAGTGAGTCTGTGACCACAATTTCCAGAGAGCCTTTAGTTCTAGACGTTTCTGGCTGTAATTCTTGATCATTGCTCTTTGTCTTACCTGGCAGCACATAGGATGCATGCAGGTCATGTACTCTTCCTGGTGTTCTCTAGGCTACGTAAGCTTTGGCCTTAAGGCATGGGCAACAGCAGCTTTTGAGACCTTTGGCATATCACCTCATGTCAGTGGACCTCAGGTTGCTCATCCCTAAAAGCATATTTGGCTAAATGACCGTGATGTCCCTCCTAGCTCTGAAAGTCAAAAATTCCACTCATTTGTTTTATACTTTCATGCATTCAGTGAGCAAATCTTGTGAGTCTCCACAAAACTCAAATCACTGCTTTAGATATCTGAAATATAGTGACAGGTAAGACTTGACCCATTCCTGGAGCTTGCTTTCCACAGGGTAGTGTACATTAAGTAGGCAAATTTGTAGCTTACCACAATCTAACAAACCAGTTATGACAGCTAGAGAGAAGAGAAGTCTGTGCTGGAAAGGCAGGAAGAAGGGAAAATGTTCAGCCAAGCAAAGCAGACAGGAAGGTAGAAGGGACCCCAAGAAGGTCCCAGAGTATCTTGTGATAATGTTCTAAAGCAATCCAATGGCAATTGGTTGGTCTTTTGGATGAGAGCTTACTACACAGATTGAGGGAAAGTATAAAACTCTATTCACAAGTTAGTTTTCTTAGAAAGCATAAAATGACCTTGACTCATTCCTTCAAGTCTCCTTTAGAAGGCTTTTTCCTGTGATCTTGGTGGTTATATATTTCTTCTTTTCACTGGTTGCCATGGAAACGGGAGTTATTTCATGTAAAATACATACTAACAATAATAGGATATAACTATTGCGCTTACTAAGGCTCTATTTACCTGTTTACTTGTCTTCTTCAAAGTACTATATTTCTCTGCAGATTATAGCTATATGACTTCTTTTGCCTCGGGGACCCTCTATTATATGTCCATTCCCCAAGGGTGATACACTCCCATAACACCCTGTGTTTTCACAGCTTGTAGCATCATACTTGCAATTATTTCTCTATTGATTGGACTCCTATAGTTAGAAATAACAAAGACCATACTTGAACTAGCTTACACGAGATAGGAAAGACTTGTGTAAGCAGTGAAAAGCCAGAAGTATATGCCACCCCTTCCCAATTCCCTCAAGCTTTGATAGGTTCAGAAGTAGACACCCAACCCAAGTTCTCTACAGAGAAATGTTTGTACAGACAGGAATTTTTTTTAATGTTAACTGTAATTGGTTTGAAATAAACTTCCACTAGCGATGAGAAACGCTGTCTATCTCATTCACTCCTATACCGAAGAGGATGTCTGCCCCATAGGAGGTTCCCATTCATGTTTGATGGGTGAATACATAAATTTGTTAGCATTAATGGTGGAATCTCTGTTGTACCATCATTTCCCTTATGAAATTAGATTTGACATATACATTCATTTACAGCATTTTTTCAGAGATACTTCTCTTGATAATCATACATGCTGATTGAAAGTACAAATTGGAAGTGAAACTTGAACATTACAATTGAATATTAGGACCAAAATCATCTTAATTGACTATACTTCTCACACTACTTGCCTCCTACTTCTGAGAACTTCAAATTAGGAACCATGCAAAATCATATTTTGTGGATAAATTAATCTAGAATATAAGTCCTCAGATAGTTCCATGAAGCTTTCTGGCAGATTGTTATTCTCTAAGAAAGAGGCAAAATAGAGTGCAATTGAAGACCACTTTCCACAAACTGACCTTGTTAAAAGATACAGATTTCTAGGCTCCATTCTAAGCCCTGTGAATATAAATCTAAAGAGTGGGGTTAAAAGTCAATATCATTTAAAAGTTCCCTGTGTGGTTCTTAGGATCAAGCGGCTCTAATGCAAAAATATGTTTATGGAAGTTTATCTTTACTAGTGAACAATTGGAAAACGAAATGGAACCCACTCCATAGAATGATATTAAATATGACTGTGAAGCTTAGGCCCTGGCCCTATCATCTGAAACAGACAAAAATATAAAAGATATTAAGTTACACACACACACACAAAAAAAACACTTTTGGGGACATTGAACATCAAGCAACAAAGAACAGTGATCTCTAAGGAGAAGAAACAAAGAAGGTAACCTCTAAAATTGTCCCAGCTTACTGTCTTCAGAGAGTCTCCAAGCCCCAGCACGGGGAGAGAAAGCTAAAACAAAGCAAGCATACTCCCTGAATTGAGGGAACAGAGCTAAAAATCTGGAGAGACCAAGAAAGATGTCTTTCAAAAATGGGCAAAATAAAAACATTTGCAGATATACTGAAGCTAAAAGAATTCAGCAGGCCCACACAATAAGAACTCTTAGACGATACTTTCAAGGCAAAAGGAAACAGAACAGATGGAAATATGGATCTTTTGAAATGATAACTACATGGGTCAGTTTACAAGTTCTTTCAAAGATATTTAGCAGTTTAAACAAAAAGAGCACTATGCTTTAGGACTTAACAGCATATGTGAAATGTATAATAGTAGTAGAACCAAGATCAAGAGGAAAGAAATGGCAGTATACTATTATAAAGTTCTTATATATGAAGTGCTACTGTATCACTTGAAGGTAAACTGGTAAGTTAAAGACATATGCTCTAATAAAAACCAAATGAGACTACTAAAACAACAAAATGAAGAGTTGCAGCTGATCAGGGACTGGAGAGATTGTTCAATAGAAACATGAACTCCTGAGTTCAGATCCCCAGCACCCATATGTAAAGTCAGGTGTGGCTACATGCACCTATAACTCCAGCACTGAGGGGACAGAGACAGGAGGATTGCTGGGCCTTGCTGGCTCCTAGCCTAGCCAAAAACATAAATACCACAAGTTCCAGGTTCAGTGAGAGACCCTGCCTCAAAGGAATAAGGCAAAGAGCAATAGAGGAGGATACCTAATGACATCCTCTGGCCTATGCACACACATGTATCTCTCTCTCTCTCTCTCTCTCTCTCTCTCTCTCTCTCTCTCTCTCTCTCCCCCTCTCCCTCCCCCTCTCTCCCTCCCTCTCTCTCTCCCTCCCTCCCTCCCCTCTCTCTCTCACACACACACAGCAAAAAGTTGTAGTTAATGAGGCAACACAAGAGAGAAAACAAACTAAGAAGAATAAATTCAAAAGAACACAGAAAAAGAAGGTCAAAGGGAGCATAGAATAAGTGGAACACATGGAAGTCAGGTAAGAAAAATATATTTATACCAAAGTATATTAATAATCATCCTAAATACTAGTGGTCTAAATACCCCCAATTAAAAACCAGAGGTTGGGGCTGAAGAGATGGCTCATAGGCTTCTTGCAGCAGACCCAGGTTCGACCCAGCACCCACATGGTGGCTAATAACCATCCATAACTCCAGTTCCAGGGGAATCCAATGCCCTCTTTTGACCTCCTCGGGCATTGCATGGCACAGGTACACCTTTGTACATACAGGCAATACACTCATACCCATAAAATAAAAATAATAAAATATTTTTTTCAAAAAAACGGAGGTTGTCAGGTTTGATAATAAAGAGAATACTCAGCTATGCTACCTGCAAGAAATGTGCTTTATACAAAAAGAAAAATAGTTTCAGAATAAAAGGACAGAAAAAGCTATGCCATCATAACATTATTCAGAAGGAAGCTAGTGGCTGTATTAATATCAGTTTATTCTGGGGCTGGAGCGATGGCTCAGTGGTTAAGAGTGCTGGCTGCTCTTGCAGAGGACCTGGGTTCGGTTCCCAGCACCCACATGGTAGCTAACAACTTATCAGTAACTCCAGTTCTAGGGGATCTGACACCCTCTCTTCCGGCCCCCGTGAGCATTGCATGCACATGGGGCACTTAACATACATGGAGGCAAAACACTCATACACATAAAAAGTAGAAATTTAAATTTTTTAAAGTTTATCCTAGGACCACAATGAAAGTAAGTTGGAAATCAGTAACAGGTAGAAGCCAGGCATAGTGTTGCACATCTGTAATCCCAGTACTGATGAGGCTAGGCCAGGAAGATTGTGAATTCAAGGCTAGTCTGGGCTACATAGCAAGACCGTATCTCAAAAACAGAGTAAAAAATAAAATAACAGAAAAAATCCAAATACTTGAAAACTAAATTAAACTTAACCCATAGATAAAAGAAGAAATCAAAAAGTACATAGCAACACTGTATCAGAATTTGTGAGATGCCATCATACTTAAGGAGAAATATGTAGATGTGTAGATACAGATTTTATATTTATATATAATTAAAAACAAGAAATGTCTCAAATCAGTGACCTCAGTTTCCACCTTAAAAATTCAGACAAAAAGAGTAAACTAAACCTGAAATCAAAGTAGAAATAAATGAGGGCTGGAGATAGATCTCAGTGGTAAAGTGTTTGCCTAGCATCTATGAGGCCCTGACCTGAATTTTAATTCTCAGCATTGAAAAAAAAGAGGCAGAAATCAATGAAGTAGAAACAGGAACTGAATAGAGTATAAAACACTTTCTTTGAGAAGATCATACTGATCAGAAAAAAATGACTGTATGACTGTTGCATTAATTTTTCCTGGGAAGACATGCACAAATGTCTGTTCACCCTAGATAGGGCACAGACACGGAACCAATGAGTTTATTGTACTTATACTTACTTAAAGAGCAATACCTGAGGGTTATTTACAGGAGTGCGGATAACCCCAAAACAGCTGCATCCCTACAAAGTTCTGCTCCTTCATGGATGACAACCATATAGAAGCTGTATCATGCTGTCCCACCTTTAGTTAACCTTCCACTTCCTATATATTCATACATTTGGTAGAACTTACCACTGAAGCTACCTTGGGCCGTGGCCTTAAAGGGTTACACTTGCATCTTCCAACCAAGATCACCAGCAGTGGTGGGGAGGAGAAAATAATTATTGCTATGACCACTGGGCCAACATATACCGAATTGGCAATAGAGTGATCATGTTATGCCCAAAGGAAAAAGGCCATACCAGCAGAACAATGATCAAGAAAACATAAATTGCCATGAGAAAAGTGGCGTAACTGCAGATGCTACAGATACATAAAAAGTGGTTAAAGGGGCTGGAGAGATGGCTTATCGGTTAAGAGCACAGGCTGTTCTTGCAGAGGACTGGGGTTCGAATCCTAGCACCCACATGGTGGCTAACAACCATCAGTAACTCCAGTTCTAGGGGATTCAACACCTTCTTTTGACTTCTGCAGGCATTGCATGCACTGATGCACTTACATACACGCAGTCTAAACACTCATATACATAAAATAATAATAATAAAATACTTTTTTAAGATGGTAAAAGAGCCAGGTACATGTCTATAATCCCAGAACTTGACAGGAATATTGTAAGTTCAAGACCTGCCTGGGCCCTAGGCAACATAGCAACACTTGTCTCAAAAAGAAAAAAAAAGAAAAGAAAAAAGAAGAGCATATTTTTACCAATAAATTCAACAATATGGATGAAATGGAGAAACGTTTCCTTGGAAGACAGAAACTACCAAATCTCGCTTAAGAAGAAATAAACTGAATTATCTTATCCTGCTTAAAAATTAAATATGTGGTTTTTTTTGTTTTGTTTTTTTGTTAACCATATTTTTTCTTTTTATTGTGTTGTCATCTGTTTTAACATTAAAATATGTCCTTCAGGAATGAAATCTGCATATGCAGCAGTACAGCCACAAAATCAAGTGGGTGTTTCTGACAATAATCAGCATAAAATAATTTAATAACATGCTAGTAATTCCAAGTACTCATTTTACTTCATTCTGTAACATCTTCGGTTTGTCTCTGGACTGAGACTTCAGAGACTCTTTTGCAGCTCTTTGTAGGAAGTATGTTCCAAAATGGATGCCTGTGAAAGTAACCCCAGCCACAAGAAGCCAGTTCTTTCTAATCCAACTGGGGCTCTTCATTCTTCTTTTAGTATCAAGCTCACATTCAAAGTTGCTTCTTTCTGATAACTACAAGTCTGCTACTTCTCATGGATTTGACTCTTTGGTGGACTTGCAAGTGCCAGGTTCTCTGGTTCCGAGATGTTGTCCTTATTAGGTATCTGGAAGACTGGGCTGCTTTTGATTTGGTGCCACCCCAAATGTATGAGCCCAATCACAGGAGCCATAACTATCAGAACTTTGTAGTCTCTCCAGACATTCTGAAGGCTCATGTTCTATGGACATCAGAACACCTCTTTTCCATCTGCAATGGCAACTCTGCTCTTTTCACTTTTGCATTAGAGATTTTTATCTCGGGGTTGGGGATTTAGCCCAGTGGTAGAGCACTTGCCTAGCAAGCGCAAGGCCCTGGATTCGGTCCTCAGCTCTGATAGGCATGTGTGGAACCAAATATGTGTTTTTTTAAAAATCCCTCAGGAACTGGGATTTAGCTCAGTAGTAGAATACTTGCCTAGTATATGTGAGATAGATTCTGTCTCTAGCACTACAAGAAAATGAAAAAGGAAATTCCTCAAAAAATTAATAAAAACCCTTTAAGGCCATGGTCCAAGGTAGCTTCACTGGTAAGTTCTACCAAATGTATAAATAAGCAGTATAGCAGATAGATGGATAAACAATTCTATACAGATTTTTCCCCAAAATATTGGAAAGGAATAAATTTTTCCAACTTAGTCTCTGAAGTCAGCATTACCCTGTAAAACCACATGATGATATTATAAGGAAAAAATAAAACACTGCAGATTGGTATCTCACATGAATACAGGTGCAAAACTTCTAAACACAATTTTAGCAAAGCAAATTAACAAAATATGAAAACAGTAGGTGCTCAGTTCAACAGTGACACTGAAAAATATCATCATGGCCTCTATATAAAGATGATACATGAAATATTCTACATCTTTTAAGGAAGAATGTGTTATGGGCATAGTGGAGATTAACCCAGGAATGCAGCTTTGCTAATAATAGCCAAAAACTATAAATAGTAGTGCAGCAGATAGATGGATAAACAAATTGGTTTGTCTAAACAGGGGAATACTACTCAGCAAGAACAAAGAATAAGCTATTTATCAATACAACATGGTAGAATCTCCAAATAATTTTGATGTTTGAAAAAAAAGCAACAAAACAGTATGCAATGCATGATTCTATTTATAGGTAATGGGATTTAATCTAGACTCAGACAAAGCCCGTTAGTGGTTGCTTGGAATGAGGAGTGGAGTATATAGAATGATGGGAGTAGATGAGAGACACAGCCACCACCCTGACTTCAGTGATACATTTGCACATGTATGCATATGTTAAATTTACCAAACTATACACTTTAAATGCATGTGTGTCAGTTATACAACAAAACTGATCTTTTGAGGAAGAAAGATAAGGAGCACAGTAAGATAAAGTATATGCCCTAAAAGGGAAAAAATTAAAAACCACTTTTTAAAAATTGGCAGCATGAAAAACAATCATAATGAGAGGATGCAAATGCACTATGTAGAATGTATACATGCTATTGTAGCAATCAAAATACATACAAATGATATTTCTGTCAGAAGAGTTTTGTGTATGTGGAAATATAGGTCTTCATTTTATATATATATATCCTTTAATAGTTTTCTATGTCTTCTAATTAAAATTACCTTCAGTAAAATCACAAATATAAAAAGGCACCTTCCTATAATTGTACTCTTACAAACTTTGTTTTTTTATAGGGAATCACTTTGAAAATGAATGAGCTAAATCATTGTATTGTTGCAAGAATCATGCATGGGGGTATGATTCACAGGCAAGGTAAGTTTCATCTGTAAGAATTTCTTTGCCTTCCTTAATTTTTTCCTGTACCTAGAGATGGGTGTTGGCTTTTTGTGATCAGCATAAAAGAGCGATTTGTCTTGGAGTTTTAGTCACTGGTGACCTCTTTTTGTTTTGTTTTGTTTTGTTTTGTTTTGTTTTGTTTGGAGGGAATGGAATGGTTTGTTTTGCCCACTATAGTGAGGGGCTGAACCAACTGCCTCCTATATGCTGGGCAGTGCTCTATATCCCCAGCCCTCCTTTTACTTTTTATAGACAGTGAGAGATGAAGCAAAGGAGTGCACGGGACCCCAGGATGTACAAGACATTTATTTTTGAATATAAGATACATATATAATATAAATATATTTTATAAAGGTAAACAACCACTTAAGAATTGCTGTCTCTGGGGCTGGAGAGATGGCTCAGCAGTTAAGAGCACTGACTGCTCTTCCAGAGGACCTGGATTCAATTCCCAGCACCCACATGGCAGCTAACAACTATCCGTAACTCCAGTTCCAGGGGATCCGACACTCTCTTCTGACCTCCACAGGCATTGCACAGCACGGGTGCACTTATACATACAGGCAATACACTCATACACATAAAAAATGAATAAAAATAAAAGAAAAAAAAAGAATTGCTATCTCAGGGCCGGAAAGATGGCTCAGAGGTTAAGAGCACATACTGTTCTTGCAGAGGACCTGAGTTCAGTTCCCAGCACCTGCACATCACGTGCCTCACAACTGCCTTTAACTCCAGCTCCAAGGAGATGCATCACCTCTGGCCTCTTAGCACCTGAACTCACATGTGCATGCACATGCACACACACACACACACACACACACACACACACACACTTAATTTTTAAAGTAAAAATAAATCTTAAAAAAAAGACTTGCTAACCAGGCATGGTGGCACACACATTTAGTCCCAGCATTTGGGAGGCAGAGGCAGGTAGACCTCTGTGAGTTCGAGACCAGCCCTGCTCCAGGACAGTGGAGGCTACAGAGAGACGCTGTCTCAAAAATAAAAAAAAGAATTACTCTCATATTCATGCAAATCAGATACACTATTTATAAATTAGGAATTGAGATACACTATTTATAAAGTAGGAATGCAGAAAAATAGATAGCTAATAACATAAAAATTAAGTGGTAAAATAAAAGATGTGAAATCAATGATTAAATTATTTTTTAATGGGGGTTTGTTCATTTGAGGCAGCATCTCACACTGTACCCAAAGCTGACCTGGAACTCAGTACGTAGCTTACCCAAGCTGGCCTCACACTTGCAGCAATCCTCCTGTCTTCAAGCCCCCTGAGTATTGGGATTGCTCATATGAGCTACCACACCCAGCTAAGAAAATCCCCTATCCTTACATGGGAAAGTCAAGTGCTGGCATTCGAAGACCTCCACTATGACGACAACTTCAGTTGAGTCTCACAGATGGTCAGGAGTTGGACATGCAGACTTAGGCTCCTCCTCGAAAGGTCTGAGTCATATACTCTAGTATTCAGAGGATATTGCAAAAATGATTCTTATTAAGGCTCCATTTCTTTGAGATAAGGTTATCTTGGTACTTACTTCCCTGCTTAATACCTAAGCATTTTAGTGCCTATTCTCATTAGAGATGACCATTGTGTGCTATTGCTCCTCTCATGGGGAGCTCACTAAGCACAGACTGTGTTCTATACTCACACAAGAGGCTGTTGTCTTTTAGATTCCAATATGGAGACTTTTAATGATCTTTAATAATTTTCTATGTGTTCAGGAGAGTTACATTATTATTTATTTCAATTCTCATTATTGTATAACTGCACTGGCTAGGATCTAAAGTCTCAAAGTGATTTGGCAGACATCCTTGTCCTATTCATTATTATTATTATTTTGTTTTTATTTTATGTGTATGAGGGTATTACCTGCATCTGCGTAAGTGCACTCATGCCGTGCAATGTCCGAGGAAGTCAGAAGAAGGTGTCAGATCCCCTGGAACTGGAGTTATAGATGGTTGTTATGTTAACCACCATGTGGGTGCTGGATTCGAACCCGAGTCCCCTGCAAAAGCAGCCAGTGCTCTTAACCACTGAGCTATCTCTCTAGCCCAGTTCATTTTTTTTTTAAAGAATAAAATCTTGTTACTTGTGACAGCACGGATGGAACTAGAGATTATTTTGGGTGAAATAAGCCAGACACTGAAAGACAAGTGCTGCATGCTCTTAGTCATGTGTTGAATCTAAGGAATCTCATAGACGTTGAGAGTAGAAGGGTGCTTTCCGTAGGCTGGGGCAGTAGGAGTGGAGGGATGGAGAAAGGTCACTCAGTACACACTAAGTTAGTTAGGACCTAAGAGTTCTGGTGTGCTGTTGCACAGTGGAGTGACTACAGATGGTAACTATGTACTGAAGCTCAAAAACTAGAAGGGATTTTCAGTGTTTTCACAATGAAGAAAAGATGGATGTTTGAAGAAATAGGTATGTTTAACCTGATTTGAACACTAGGCAATGTGTGCAGATTTCAAAAGCCATTAATATGTACAGTTTTATGGCTTTATATGTTAGGAAATAAGAAACTTGAAGGCAGTATCATTTATAAAAGAAATATAATTTTAATACATTGAATATTAAGCCTGGTGTGGTGCACATGCCTGTAATTCCAGCATTTGGGAAGCATGAGACAGGAAGATTATGGGTTACACATTCCTCACAATATATAAATGTACCCCCTACGTTATCCTATCAAGATGTATAATAATTGTGCATCAAAGTTTTTTTTTTTCAAAAATAGCTAAAAGAAATTTTTCCAGTGTTTCTCCATTAAAAATAATGTTTAGCCAGGTATGATGGCACACACCTTTAATCCCAGCAATGGAGGGCCAGAGGCAGGTGATCTCTGTGAGATCAAGGCCAGCCTGGTCTACATAACAAGTTTCAGGCCAGCTGGAGCTATAGGGAGACTTGGTCTCAAAAAAGAGAAGAAGAAGAAGAAAAAGAAGAAGGTGGTTAAGAATATCTACTGCAGATTTTTAGGTACGTGCCTTTTATTGGGGCTAAGGATGTTTCCTTTCTATTGTGATTCTGTGATTGGGTTTCGAATTTCTCCAAATGATTTTTTTGAATCTGCTAAGAGATAATCATTTGGAGCTGTTTTTTTTTCCCTTTTTTTCTTTTTGTCTTATTAACATGGTTAATGATTTTTAAAGATTTCCTAATAATAAACAGCTCTTAGATTTCTGGATAAGCCTAGCTTATGTATTATGTCCTGCTCTGTGTACCAATGTTTTATGTAGGATTTGAGGGCTTTTACTTATGAATGAGGCAGACATATAGTTGATTTTCCTTTCCTATATTTCTCTGATTTTAGTTTGAAAGCTGCATCAGCCTCATAGAATGACTTAGGGAACATTTCCTCTTCATTGATTCCCTGGAAGACTTGGTATAATGTTGAGATGGCTTATTCTTTGAAAGTGTGCTATAGAACTTGCCTATGGATGTATCAAGGCCGGGGGTTTTGATTTTTTTATTTCATTTTAGTGTAATTTGTATATGGAGCCTCATTATGTTGACCTGGTCCCCAACTCTTGGGCTCAATCAGTCCTTCTACCTTAGCCTTTTGAGAGGCAGGGACTGTAACTATACCAGCTTGGGTTTGGGGTTTGGGGGGGGCGGGCTTGTTGTTTTGGTTTTTTTATGTGCGTGAGTATTTTGCCTGCCTGTATGAAAGTGCACCCATGTCATGCAATGTCCACAGAGACCAGAAAAGGGCCTCTGATCCCCTGGAACTGGAGTTACAGATGGTTGTTGGCCGCCTTGTGGGTGCTGGGAACTGAACCCTCATTCTCTGCAAAAGCAGCCAGTCATTTTACAGTGACTTCAATTTCTCTAACAGTCATAAGGCCACCCAAGCTATTTCTTGAATGTACTTGGTAAATTATTTTTTAATGATATTGTAGGAAGCTTCATAGTATTCTCTCTCCTCTTCATTCTTTGCCGTCTCTGTAATTCTGCACTCTTGTTCTTCCTTAATATTATTTGTGCTTTTTCTTTTTTAGTTCCTCTTCATCAACCTTGTCAGAGGTTTGTTCGGAATTCTGCCCTGAGGTTTTGTTCATTCTCTCCATGTTTATTTTCCATTTCATTGTTCATGGCCTAAGTTTTTTTTAAATCCTTCCTTCTAGTCTCTGTTGGTTTTAGCTAACTTTTGTTTTTTGTTCTTTGGTGGGGTTTTTTAAATATATTTTTCTTTAAAATTTTTTTTGAATTTTTGTGTATTTCATACAGAACATCATCTTTATACCCCTTCCCCATTGGCACCTGTCCATAGCCACACACACACACACACACACGCACACACACACACACACACTCACACTGTATTTCGTACATTCTGTCATTTGTGTTAAGGCCTATTGTGTCAAGTTAATGTCCCCAGATGTCCCTCAGTGCAAGTTCCTTCACTGAGGTCTAGTCAGCCTATCTAGAGTCTCTCGCTTTAAGAAGATGAGCTCTTCCTTTCCCAGCAGTAATCAGCTGCCAATAATTCTTTGACTGAGATTGGGTCCTGCTGTCCATTTCCACAGTTCTGTGCTGGGTTTTTGTCTGCTTGAGTTTGCATGGACCTTGTGCATGCTGACACCATTGCTATAGATTCATATGAGAATGGTCCCAGGAGCCTGTACAACTCTGTACTCCTCCCTGGCTCTTAAAAATCTTTCCTCCCCTGAGCCCTGGGTAGGTGGATTTTAATATAGGAATCCTGTCTAAGGACCCACAGTCTGTAGGCCTTTTGTGTTCCTGGCCCTCTGTTAAATGAGAGAGCTTCATTGATGAGAATTGAAAAATGCATTAGTGTTCTTTTTACCCCTTGTTCTGTGCTTCACAAGCCTTAGGTATAGAGGCTGCATCCTAGACAATCTCTGTGTAAGACCAGTTGAACTCACAGAGATCTGCTTGCCTCTACCTCCTAGTCTTTGGTAGGTTTTTATTTGTTTATTTGTTTGTT